GTGTTGTTCAGGCAGGACACGTTGGCCAGGCCCGCCAGGCTCCCCGACAGCTCGGGGTTCTTTCCACACTCGTCGTAGAAGGCGCAGTAGCCGGGCTGGTGGATGGGCGTGTACGGCTGGGCCTGGGCCTGGGGAGCAGGGCAGGCTCAGCCAGGGGGGCTGGGGACCTGGGATCAAGGAGGGATGCAAGGCCCGGTGGGGGGGTGGCCATGGCAGCTACACACGGCTGGGAACTGGGGAGCCCTGGGGGTGCAGAGGCCTCTGGGTGGTGTCTGGGGGTGATGGGCTTTCATCAGGTCACTGAAGAGAGGGAGGTGAGCCCTGGCCGTGTGGCTCAGTGGTTGAGCGTTGACTCATGAACCAGGAGGCACAGTACAATCCCTGGTCAGGGCACACGCCTGGGTTGTGGGCTCGATCCCCAGTGGGGGGTGTGCAGGAGGCAGCCGATCCATGATTCTCTCTCGTTATTAACGTTTCTCCCTCTCCCTTCCTCTCTGAAATAAATTAAAATATGTTTAAGAGAGAGAGAGGGAGGGAGGCAACCCAACAGACGTGCATGTGGCAAGGTCACAGGTCACGGACGACTCTAAGGGGTTGAGTGGTACCGGGCGCTGAGCACATGGGCACCATCACCAGTGCCATTGGCCACCACGGTGCCCAAGCCGCAGGCCACACCGGGAGGCAGGGGCCCCTGGGGCATCAGTGCCCGGCTTCCCTGCCCTCCCCTCCTGGGGCCCAAGCTTGCACCCTCCTCCCAGGCCTGCAGTGAGCGAGAAACAACAGCGGCAGCTGCTAAGTCCACGGTGGGAGACTCAGAAGCCACCACCCACCTCGGGCCAGGGCGTCCACAGCAGCCCAGGGATGGGAGGCCCCTGGTCACACCCAGGCCAGCGGCCCCTCCGCAGCCCTGTGTCCAAACAGCACCTTGGCCTGGAGACTGGGGCAGCCCAGGACCTCCGCCCACACCCCTCCTCTGGGCACCTGGGATTCCCCGTCTGTCCAGAGACCGGATCCCCGAGGCCCAGGCCCTCCCTGACTGTCACCAAGGACCCCCGTGCCCAGGACTCGAGAGGGGAGGCCCCAGCAGGGTGCAGGCGCCGGACTCACCGCCTGCAGGAGCAGCACCCAGAGCAGCCAGCCCCGCGGGCGGGCCTCTGCCATGCCGGCGCCAGGAAGGGGCGAGAGGAAACTGACCACGGACAGTCGGGCTCAGCGAAGGGCTGGGTCCAGGGGGCACCAGCAGGGCAGCCTCCTGCCAGGGACAGCCTGGCCTGATGGTGGGGGACCAATAGGGCTGCCCGGCA